TAATTCCAGCTAGTCCATCAGGTCTTAAAGGATATTGGCAAGTATTAGATAGAGACAAAGTAGTAGCAATGTTTTTTGTTTTTCTTTAAAATATATCTTTATTGATTTCAGAGAGAGGAATGGAGAGGGGGAGAGTTGAAACATCACTGTTGAGAGTGTCATTGATCGGCTGCCTCCTGCACGCCCCCGACTGGAGATCGAGCCCACAACCTGGGCAAGTGCCCTGACTGGGAATCGAACCACAATCTCCTGGATCCCAGGTCGATGCTCAGCCACTGAGCCACTCTAGCTGGGCATCAGTGGTTATTTTAATAGGAGTAGCTGAATTGATCTTGCCAACATCCATACTGGAAAGGTCCCAAAGTTGCACTGGAATATCCTGCAACAAACATTCAGTTTCAAGATTATTTTTCTCTAGTGGAAGTTCCTTTAAAATCATACTTTTCCCAATTGGCTCAGTATCTGATTCACTTAATTCTAAACACATTTCACCCTTCTGGGAAAAGGATATGTGGGCATCATGGGTTTCAAGAAAATCTTTCTCTGTCAGGTGAATTGGGGCCCATTTGCCAGTAAAAGTATATGTTGCCCCATAACATTTCCTAGTTGAAAGGGGACAGGGTCCTGATTTAAAAACAGTCATTGGTTGGATACCCCTACCAATTGCACATAAGCTTTACTCCAAGGGAGAGAGAAACTTAGTTGGGTAGGGTTAAGAATGGATAAAGTAGCCCCAGTATCTATAGGGCCTTAGTAACTTCCCCTTTTATGATAATTTCAATTTCTCCTCAAGTATTAGTAAGGAGAAGTGGAAATACACTTTTATAGTCCTCAAAGCAGCTCTATGCTTGCTTCTGTTTGTTTTCTCTTTGTAAATTCCATTTCAGTTTTCTACAGTCCTTCTTATGGTGACTTGGCTTTTTACAATAAAAACAAACTCTTCTCCCCCCCTTGTCTGAGAGACCTCTGAGTCAGTCTAACTTCATTGCTTAATTGTTGGAGCTGTAAGTTCATAATTTTGGGAGCTTTATCTTTTTTTCTCTTTTGAATAGTTTTAGTTGATCAGCCAGAATAGCCAGTTCATAAGCATGGTGGTCTGTCAGTTTATGATGTTTGATTAGTTACAAGGTCTTCATCTAGTCCATCCAAAAATGCTGAATTTAGTAAGGACATTTTGATGATCCTTAAAACTGTCTAGAAATGGATCTGAGAATTGTTTGAAAGTTTTTCAAAAATGTTTAAAGAAATCAAGCACTGGTTTATTCGGTTTTCTTTTATATTACTGGATCTTGGTGCGGTCCATTTTCTGGGGAAGAATCTCAGCTATGGCTTGGTAAAGCTGGTGAACTAATTTCCTGCATTTCCCCCAGTCTTTGTTTTAAAAAGTCCTCTACAGGAATATGCCAGGGAACCTGATCCAGCCATCCTGTTGCCTTGTTCTCAGAAAAGTAGGTGTATTAATTGGAATAGGTCAGAATAGCCAGGATCATATGTTGTAACAGTTAAGTCAAATTCATTTGCAAACCCATCAGGGTCCTGGAGAGGGTCAGGGAAATCTTTGGCTAGATTTCTTAATTCTGTTCTAGTCCAAAGAATATATACAATCACTGGTTTCCCTCTACCTGAGACAGGCTTTTCCCTGAAAGGAGCTGCTAAAATTCCTGAATAATCCCTCTCTGAATTTCTATTCTCATTTCCCCCTAGATCAGTAGGGAGTGGTAAGGGAGGAGATATAGAAGGAGAAGGAAGAAGGGAGGGGGAGGGCAAGTCTGCACAAGGAAGCTCAGAGAGCGAAAGGTACAGTGGAGGAGCTATAGAAGGCGGAGGGGTGGGGTCTTGGCATTTATTGGTTTAGAAACCTTTAGTTCAGAGACAGTCTCTAAAATTTTCTTATTAACTTTCTATAGGGAAGATATTTTATCTGAGCCTCTCCTAGAAGCTTCTAATTTCCAATCAAGATAAGCTTCCCATTCACTCAATTTTAGAGCCAGCTTTTTCTAATTAAGCACAGAGAAAAATCAATTTGGAGGTCTCAAAAGTTTCCCCCTTTGGCCATTTCAAGCTGATATCATTTTTAGTTAAATGTTCCCATTTCTGTAGATACTTGCAAGTTGAGATTCCATGTGAATTATACATGTACTCAGCGGAAGTATTAATGGGGGGCTGGGATTCTTGGGGTTCATTGACCTTAGAGACATGATTTCCCATTTTAATTTTAGTCTTTGGATATCTGCAGTCTGAACAAACGTGCTGCCTATGGGCTGAGCTCCTCAAGACACTCACCCTTTAAGTCACATTCAACCCTCTTATGTGCCTTGGTTTCTGTCCCTGGCTGTCTGATACAGCCGTGAGGACTCAGTGCGCTAGGTGACCAATCTTTGTATGTGCATCCCTGGACGTGTAAATTGTTCAATTACAGTTGAGTTGGTATTTCCCTATGGGGCTTCTGCAGGTTGTGAGGGATGCCCTCTGACACCTCCACAAAGATTCTGTCTCCTAAGGAGCACCCAAGGTTTCGGCTGGAGGGAGGATGTGCCCCTTGTCTTCACAGCCCGAGTTCAGGGTCTCATTTTAGCAAAAGTCTTTGTTCAGACTGCAGTTGAATAATTCCAATTGAAAAGCCAAAATCAAAACCAGCTCCCCATCTCAGCTCCTATCCTTTAGTGCCACCTTGAGGATTCTCTAAGAGCAGCTCAAATAAAGTCTGACCCTCTATCACGAGCAAGGGAAGGTCCTGAATTAAGAGACAAATCACCCAATATTACCTGATGTGGTGGGGAGCTAGTGGGGTTCAATGGACCCCTTGCTGGATCCTAGCACTGGGTCTAGGTCTGAGGGTTGGTCCTGGGTGAGTTTCTTTGGAACCCCGTTCCAAGTAAATGTCAATGTAAGAAACATTCAAACCTGTAGAGAATATTTGTGAGTCTGAGCTAAGCTGACAATTGCCAGGAAACAAAGTCTCAATGGATTGAGAAAAATGCTCCAGAGAATGGCAGTTTGCACCTTATTTTATATATTACAGCCAAAAGAGGAGCTGTAAGTGGGTTACATTAAATCCATTCATGATAAATTAGGGAGGCGGGAGAAAGCAAAAGGGGGAACGGGGGACGGGCTCTGGGACTGGGTGAAAAGTAAAATGACAGACATATACTTCTTTTACGTAAGTAGGTATAAGATAGTTAACAGTCAACAATTAACTCAATAACAAGGGAATGTGTGGTCTCTGCAGAGCAATACCTGTGCTTTGAGGGGGTCCAGAAAAAAGGAAATTACTTTGACATTCCACAGATACGTTATTGTAGGTGCAAAAAGACCTTAGTTAAGGTGAACATTGACTTTCATTAGGAAAGATTTCTAGCTTAGAACATGACTACCTACCATTAATTGCTTTTAGTTAAAAAGTTTTAATTTCAGACCATCCTTGGTGGTTATTTTAGGCCTCTGAGTCTGCAAGGCTGCCACACAGGCCTCCCCTGAGCTTGCCAGGGTTAGTATGTGGCCCCTTTTCGTCTATAAGACACAATGATGCTTCCTTTTCCACCGAAAGGCATTCCTATAATGATCTGCAGTGGCTGCTTTTCTCTTCCCATCAAATCATAGACAAGTAGTCATGCAATGCTGAAAGCTTAGCTGTCAGAACTCTTATTGGAAACTACTTATTGGTAACTTGGAAACTGCTAGTCAGAGATGTACACACCTTCCACAGGTTGTGAAAATGTGGACACCCTAGCTTAACAGAATAAACCCACTGACAGTTCAGTGAGCTGCAATGGAGCACATTTGCTGATGAGACCAGCCATGCTGGGACCTCTGATGGCCAAAACTATATATAAGACTGAAAGGATGTTCACTGTCACATATGGATATCCAGTAGGATTAGCACTTGTGATTATCAGACCATTTCACAGGAGCATCTAGATCTAGTTACACACACACACACCCCTAAGTTTATTAAATACTTTGCTACATGGAGAGTGCGTGTGGCTGTGTTACAAAACACCTGGTGGACTGTAGTTTGTTGACCCATGTTGTAGATATTTCATAAAACATCTCATTTTGATGAAGAATCTGGTAGGTCTGGAAAGCCCTGGGATACTGAGTTTGTATAAGCACCATGGTATTTTTCATCAGCTTCAGGTAAGTAGAACCAGTGTAATAAAAGCAGGCATACAAATTGATGTCTCCGAGGCAAGAGCTATTGCAGGGGGTATTGTTCCTTTCACAACAATCTGTCAAAAACTGAGAAAAGCAGGTCTTGAATTGACTGGGGCCAGTAGATGCCAGAATCTCTTAGGGGATTGCAGACCTAACATGAGTCTCTGTTTCACTGCCAAGGCCCCACTCTCTGACATAGAACCCAGCAAATATCCTCTAGGAAACACTTGTTTAGGATGGTGACACCTTCTGGTTCATTGCCCACATGGATCTCTGACCTTTCCTTTATCCTACCTCCTCGATGGGGCTTCCAGGTGGAATGATTCCTTGTAATGACCCCATTCCTTTTATGTAAGGAAAGTCACTAAAGAAATTTGTAATACATATACTTTCAGTAAAAGCATACACAAGCTGTGGCAAAAGTAGGTTAACAGTATTTTATATGGAAAACAATACAACAATAATACTAGAATAAACTGTGCTTCACCTACTCACAACTGTAAACCTGCTTTTGCCGCACCCTGTATTTGTGGATAATGTTTACATCAGTGTCAATGCCTGTGGATTGTAAGGTGATTGTATTGAGGGAAATGTATGACTCTATACAGCAATTCACAGGGCTGGAGCTGTCTCTCATGCTTTCTTGAGTCTAAGTAAGGCTGATCATTGAGAGCTGGTTTGTCTTGTGAGTTGTGTTGCACCAGGATAGACATTAAGGTGTCACTGTGGGATGAAGGTAGGTTTGTAAAGGAAGTGTTTCTGTGAACAACTGAGGAATGACTGCTGGGTAAGTCTCACTGTCCACAAGGTATCTGTGGTGATTGTGACAGAAACTTTCTCTCCAGCAGAACCAAGGACAGAATTCCAGCCCAGTCTCTCCTGCCTGGTGGCCTTTTCCAGTCTGCAGTTCCTCAGACAATATGTGCCGTGTGGTCACCCCCCTGAGATTTCCCCAAGCTCTTCTGTAGGAAGTCACTTCCCACTGGAAGCTCCAAGCTGCTCGAGTGGAAAAGCAGAAGACGGAGAGAGAGAAGGCTCTGGCACTGTGTTCAGGAGGCTGCAGCCAAGTGGGACTTCAAGCATAATCTTTGGCCCATTTCAGGGTCAGCCGGTAGACAGGGTAGAAGACAACAGAGGTGAAGGAACAGACCAGAAGGTGAATCCTGAGGGGGCAGACACAATGTTGACAGGGGCAGACTGCTCAGAATCTGGAGCAGTCATGTGTGAAAAATACAAAGGACAACGCAGCACAAACTCGAGCCTCTTCAGCCTCCAGAAGCCTCATGTGTGTCCTGAATGTGGCAGAGGTTTCTGCCAGAGGTCAGACCTCCGCAAACACCAGAGGATGCACACAGGAGAGAAGCCTTATAGTTGTGGGGAGTGTGGGCGAGGCTTTGGCCGGAAGTCCTCCCTCACTATACACCAGAGGAAACACTCAGGGGAGAAGCCCTACGTGTGCAGGGAATGTGGGCGACACTTCAGGTATAGGTCCTCGCTCACTAACCACAAGAGGATACACTCTGGAGAGAGACCCTTTGTATGTCAGGAGTGTGGGAGAGGCTTTCGCCAGAAGATTGCCCTCGTCCTGCACCAGAGGACACACTTGGAGGAGAAGCCCTTCGTGTGTCCTGAGTGTGGGAGAGGCTTTTGCCAGAAGGCATCGCTCCTCCAACACCAGAGCTCACATTCTGGTGAGAGGCCCTTCTTGTGCCTGGAGTGTGGGCGTGGCTTCAGGCAGCAATCCCTGCTGCTTGTTCACCAGGTCACGCACTCAGGGGAGAAGCCCTATGTCTGTGCTGACTGTGGGCATGGCTTTCGCCAGAATGCCACCCTCATCAGACACCAGAGGACACACACAGGGGAAAAGCCTTACCTGTGCTCTGAGTGCGGGCGTAGCTTTCGTCAGAAGGTCTCCCTCGTGGGACACCAGAGGACTCACACGGGGGAGAAGCCCTATGTGTGCCCTGAGTGTGGGCGGGGCTTTGGTCACAAGGTCACCCTCATCAGACACCAGACGACACACACAGGGGAGAAGCCTTACATGTGCTCTGAGTGTGGCCGCACCTTTGGCTTCAAGTCACATCTTACCAGACACCAGAGGACACACTTAGGGGAGGAGTCTGATGTGTATGGAGCCTGTGAGCAGGGACTGAGCCAGAAACCTGACCTCACCTCTGACCAGAAGACACACTCAGGAGAGAAGCCATGTGTGTGTGGGGAGTGTGGGCGTGGCTTTGGCTTCAAGTCAGCCCTCATCAGACACCAGCGGACCCACTCGGGAGAGAAGCCATACGTGTGCAGGCAGTGTGGTCGTGGCTTTAGCCAGAAGTCTCACCTCCACAGACATAGGAGGACCATGTCTGGCCATCACTCCCTGCCACAAGAGCTTTTCTCCTGACCTTCCCTTTCCTTTCTCCATCAGCATGAAGATGGCAGAAGTCACTAGGAAATGTTCCACTTTTCTCAAATGCAGTGGAGAAAAGAGTACTGCATTCTTTCAGTGATAAGAGAGTTGGTTTATGGTTTCCCTCCTACACTAGGAGTGTGTTTTATTTTTCCAGGGCGGCCATAATAAAATACCACAGACTTGGTGCCTTGAAGAACAGAAACTTATTTTCTCAAAGTTTTTGAGGCCAAGAGTCCAAGATCAACACACAAGCAGTCTAGTTTCTACTGAAGCCTCTGTCCTTGGCTTGCAGATGTGACTCCATTCTTGCTGTGTTCATGTGGCCTTTATTCTATGTGTATGCTTTCCTAGTGTCTCCCTCTTGTAAGGACACCAGACATACTGGGTTAGGGACCTCTATACCATTTACCCTTTAAAAACCCTGTCATCAAATATGTCACATGGTAGATTATCCCTTCAACATATGAATTTTGTGGAACAACTCAGCCCATAACACTCAGCCCTCTAGTCTACCCCTCAAATGAATGTCCTTTCTCACATACAGAATACACTCACCCATCTTAAGAGCCTCAAAACTCAACGCACTCCAGCATCAACTGTATGTCCAGAATCTCACCTAAAACACATGGGTGAGACTAGAGATGTGTTTCACCCTTAGGCAGAATTCTTTAGCTGTGAACCTGTAAACCAGACAAATTATGTTTCAAAAATACAATAGTGGGACAGGCCTAGAATTCCCAATCCCATTCGAAAAGTAGAGAGAAAACGGGATTGATGGTCCCAAGCAAATCTAAAACCTAGCAAGGCAGATTCTGTTATGTTTAAGGCTCAAGGACAATCTTTGGTTGGATCCTCGGCTCTCTGGTCCCACTTGGGTGGCATTGGTGGTGCCAGGCACTGTGAAACCATGCAAGAGACACACTGGCTCCTCAGACTTTTACTCTCTGGGCCCACTGTGGGAGTAGCAGACCTGCTCATCTCTGTTTTACCTTTGGGGTCATTCTCTGCTCTTACTCATGGGCCACACATGTTCTCCGTTGAGTAGATCTATTCTCAACCTTCCCTAGTCTGCAGAATGCCTTCAGTTTGTCCCATGTGTATCACCATTAGTCCAACCTGCCAGAGTTTCTGCTGAGATAGCTGAATGGTTCCAAACTAATCTTTTTTTATCAAAGGACTGTCTAGCCACATCGTGATGTTCTTTCATGTTTTCTCATTTTTTTATAATATGGATAGGCTGAGAATTTTCCAGTCTTGAAGTTCTGTTCCTTTTTGTTTAACAGGTCCTTCAGTTTATCCCTCTTCTCTCACATTTTACTATAAGGAGCAAGAAGACACCAGGCTGCACCTTCAACACCTTGTTCAGTAATCTCTGCTAAATATTAGTCATTTATGCCCTCTAGATTCCCAAAATTTATGTGACCAGTTATGAACTCCTGCCATAAAAATGTCTTCTCACCTTTCCTTTCCATTACCCATGAATGTGAACATGGCAGAAATCACTAGGAAATGTTCTGCTCTGCTGAAATGGAATGGAGGAAAAACAATGTTCATGAGATAGTCTGTTTATGGTTTATTTTCTAAGCAGCAGTCCTCTATATTTTATTTCCTTTTATTTTAATAAACTGCTTCTATATATGCACATCTGGTTGTGTACTTCATTCTGTCAAGGACCTGAAGGTATTCAACCTCTTGGGAGACATGGGAGAATCACTCTATTTGTTCTGGACTCTGGTCCTGTAAGCGGAGAGCAATATTATAATGGCCTTCATCCACACTTCCCCCTAAGTCCTCCAACAGACATATGACATCCTCAAGCCACACACACACAGCCTCCTCCAACACCAGATTGAAGGGTATCTATTAATACCCATCCCTGTAGCCCAAGGCCCCCTCCCATTAGCCATGACTATGTGCCAATGATCAAGCACAAGGACTGGGGGCTTTCAGCCACAACCCTCCTATCTAGAGGGTCTAGAGTGCACATCTTTTATTCAGACAAGGCACTGCCCCTTTAGCCATTGCCTCTTGTGATCTCTAATCCCCAGAGCTTAACAAAGGCCCAGTCCAGACACTATCCTGGCTTAAAATCCAGAGATAATGAAAGATTACTGATAAAGTTTAATACAAAAGCAGTATTTTGCATGGCAAAAAAATATAAATAATATCAAAAGACAAATGACTGGAAGAGAAATATGTAACATAAATCAACATATTTCACAGATAAAAGGTTAATATCCCCACTTTATAGGAACTTTTAAAAATCAAGGGGAAAACAACAAAAGTTCTAGAAAATTGGGCAAGAAACATGCTCGTTTACCAAAAGAGGTATAAACAAATGAAAAGATGTTTAACTTCACTCATGATAAAAGAAAGACAAATTAAAACTTCACTGAGATACCATTTGCCACTCATCAGCTTGGCAAAAATTCAAAAGCTTGACAGTACTCTGTATCAGTGAGGCTGTGAGGAAACAGGCATTTTCATACATTGTTGCTGGGAATGCAGAATGGTAAAGCCTTTTAGAGGGCAATTTGGCAATATGTAAACTGTATACATGTAACTATTGACACAGCAAGCACACTTCCAAGAATCTATCCTGAAGGGTCACTTGCAATTTTATGAATATACACATGCACATGGTTATTTTTCATAGTATTATTTATAGTTCCAAAATGTTGAATATTGTTTGAATGTTTAAGCATATAATTGTATAAACTGGAGCATACACACAGTGGAGTAAAATGCAACTGAGAAAAATGAAGATACTAGTGAGACATTATGGAGGAAATATTCCTGAATGAAAAGAGCCAAGTGCTATAAGCATATATAGTTTGTCAGCTTTTGTTTAAGAAAGAAGAGAAAATAATGAACATGTTATTTTATTGTATATACTCAGTCTTGGGCAGAGTTCAATTTTACATATGTGTGTTAGAATTAGAAACAAATCTTAAACTCAATGAGGTGGAAAAGTGATGCCAGAGGAATGTTGGTGTGAGAGATCCAGTTGGCCTCTCCCCCCGAAATTTCAACAAATTAACCAATTATAATTCAACAAAAAGTTCCCTACTCAATATGGAGGCAAGGCTAAGAGACCCACTCACTGAAACATCTAAAGGTGGGAAACCGGGAATAAGCAGGGAGACAAGAGGGAGGAAAACCCAGACTGCCACCGGGAGCTCACAGTGCACCTGGGAGTGAGGAGGAAGCCAGCCGTAGCAGGCCCTTCTTTCAGCTGGCTTTGTGAAGCAGAGAGCTGCAAGGGACAGCCCGGCAGGGGAAGCAGAGTGAACAGTGACTGAGCCAGCAGAAGCCTAATAGAGCATGGGCCACATGGCTCCCCACTATTGGGCAGGGGTGTTTCTGACAAAGAAACAGACAGAGCCCTGCCACCCCTTGGACTCCCAAAACTTGCTTCCCGTTGCCCTCATTGTGGGGTCAAGGAACATTTTTATCTGTAAACCAAGAGCAAGTGTAGTGCAACCACTGTTTCCCTCTGTGACTGACCCCTGGGTTTGGTACTTGGGGCGGGACTCCATGGAGGTTGAGGTTGCCATTACAGTAGGGCAAAACAAACCCCACCCCAAAGCAGCCTGACTGTGCTGTATTACAGAAGCCCATGAAGGTCAAGTCTGGAAGATCACAGAAGTAAAAAAACATGGTGATTCAGCGCCTCCTACTGGAAAATAGTAGAAAGACCTCTTCAGAGATTGCTGTTATAGAAGGAACATTTATGCCTAGACAAAGGAGAGGAGCAAATACCATGAACAACCAGGGTAATGAAGATGATCAGAAAGAAAATGAAAAATCTCCAGAAAGCAAGCTGGGTCACAGGGAAATATGTGATATAAATGACAGATATTTCAAGAATGCAGTTCTGAAAACACTCAACAAGATGCAAGAGAATACAGACAGGCAATTCAGTGTACTCAGAAAACAAATGCACAAAACAAATATTTTACCAAAGAGATTGAAACTTTAAAAAAGAACCAATCAGAAATCCTGGAAATGAAGCATGCAATTAAGTAGATTAGGAACGAGCTAATGAGCTTAGAAAACAAAGCCAACCAGATGGAGGAAAGAATTAGTGATATTGAAGATAGGAATGTGGAAATGACACAGAGGGAAGAAGAGAGAGACCTGAGCATAAAATGAAAGAGCTCTACAAAAACTATCTGACTCCATCAGAAAAATCAATATTAGAATAATAGGCATTCTGGAAGAAGAAGAGAGGGAGAAGGGAAAAGAGAGTCTATTCAAACAAATAGTGGATGAGAACTTCCCAAACCTATGGAAAGAACTAGATCTTTGAATCCAAGAAGCAAACAGGACACCTACTTACCTCAATCCAAAGAGGCCCTCTCCAAGGCATATTATATTTAAACTGTCAAAAATTAATGACAAAGAAAAAATTCTCAAAACAGCCAGGGAAAAGAAAGAAGTGACCTACAAAGGAAAACTCATCAGAATTTCATCCAACTTCTCAGCAGAAACTCTACAGCCAGAAGAGAGTGGAACCAAATATTCAAACGTCTGAAAGAGAGACATTACCAGCCACTAATAATATACCCAGCAAAATTATCCTTTAAATATGAAGGAGAAATAAAGACTTCCCAGACATACAGAAGCTGAAATATTTTATCACCAGAAAACCTATTCATATTAACCATTGTCACCCCAATAAATTTAATAAAGTGTTTTTTAAAAATCTTAAACTCTTTAGTTTGTTTCCTGTAGCAGTATGGTGAAGCAATTCTGAAACTATTTTGGATGCACCATAGAATTGAAAAAATGATGTGGTTGGGAGCCAGTGTTCTCACTGAGGAAGGAAAACCATCCAAATATAAAATGGCACCAAGCAAGGAAGAACCTGTGAAGATGTACTGGTTTGAATTTAAGATTCCTTTGATAGTTGCACACGTGCGTCTGTATGTGCTCGTGCTTATTTGTGTGTATGTGTATATACTTGTATTTATTTTCTCCTATCTGCTGAAAAGACCGAGAAGCAAGGACAATCCAGAAGTAGTGAGCACATGTAGCATAGAGATCTTAGTCCCTAACACCACTCAATGGCTGCTTTCAGTGTTAGGGCAGGGTAGGTATGAAATGATCCCCAAACATCTGGTAATGCCAGGGAGAAAGGAAGTGCAAAAGAAACCCCAAAACCAGAATCATGATAGAGCATGACACGAAAACACAGGAGCCAGTTTAAAGGGATCCCCACCCACTGGCCACATCTGGGATGATTCAAGCTAATTGAGTTCACTGAGTTATTTATTGGGGAAAAAAGAGAAACTAATGGGTCTGTAACAACATATATCATCAATAATCATCAGAGAGATGCAAATTAAAACTACAATGAGGTATCACTCACATGTACCAGAATGGCTACCATCAATAAGTTAACAAACAAATACTGGTGAGGATATGGAGAAAAGGGAACCCTGCTGGTGGGGATGCAGAATGGTGTAGCCACTGTGGAAAACATATATCCTAAGGATCTTGAAACACCAATTAGAAGGAATATTTGCTTAGTAGCATAATTTACAATAGCCAAGATCAGGAAGCAGCCCAAGTGCCCATCAGTATATGAGTGGATTTAAAAAACAATGGAATACTACACGGCTATAAAAAAGAAGGACCACTCAGCTTTTGTAACAGCATGGATGGACCTGGAGTTGATCATGCTAAGCGACATAAGCCAGTCAGAGGAATGATCTCATATGTGGACCCTAATGAACAAAATATACTGACAAACAAAATAGAACCAGAACACGGATACATGGAAGAGACTGACAAATGTCGGGGGTGGGGGTGAGGGAACTGAATAAAAGAAGCTGAAGGGATTAGCCAAAGAACATATATGCATAGCCCATGGACAGGGACAACAGTGTGGTTAAAACCAGGGGAGGGGGAAGCGGGGGCTGGGTGGAGGTGGCCAAAGGGAGGAAAATGAGGGGCATTTTATAATAGTGCAAAAAAAATAAACTATAATAAAATATAAAAAGGAATCGGCAGGTGTATCTCTGCTGCGGAGTTCCTCCACAAGGAGCGACAGTCTCAGTCCCACCCTGTGCTCCCTAGTTTTGGATTCCTGTGAACAGGAAGAGAAGTCCCCATAACTGTGAACCCAATGAAGATGGTGGCTGAGTGAGACAAAGGGCTTTTAAGAGTCCCCAATAGTCCTCTTAAAGAGCCTACTCACAGACTTACTTGCTGATGGGCTAACACACTCTTCGCTCCAGCACTCAAAAAGGGCCAGAGACAGATGGAGAAAAACTGAATTGTCAGGCTTTAGGGCAAGGGCTGAAGGGGTTGCTCTTTCTGGGACAAAAGTCCTGGCAGGCAACATTGTTCCTTTGTTGAGCCTTCCCCATCTCAGCCTACAGGTGCAGGTGGGCACAAAGTCTAAGTCTCCATCCACCTGGTTAACACCATTCACCCTGCCTTGGTGGTTCCCTGAGACCCCACCCCACCCAAATTAGGGATCCACCCAAATCACTTCCATTGGCTTATCTACATAAATGGCTTCTCTCGGCTCACACTTCCAACTCTCCTAAAATCTCTCAAAGGTTCACAGACCCAAAATGTGCAGCTTCTGGCCTTGGCATGCTCCATACCACTTCCTAAATGGCCCCTAGTCAGCACTACCGGCAGCTGGCCTTGGTTTGCAGCTTAGCATCTCCCAGGTGTCTCCAAGCCTGCAGAGCCCCAGCACCTGGAGGGCACCTGAGGCGCAGACCTGCTTTCTAAAGAATGAAGAGCACACAGCAGCTGAATGTGCTGGGTCTGCTGAGTGGACCCTAATTTCAAACACTGGGTCCCCTGCGGCCATAACTTCCCATTATTTCCTCAGGCATCTGTTCTGAATTTTGTTCAGAAAATGGAGCCTGTGCTGAAGTGAGCCAAGTGCCACATAGGAAGCAGGTGGAGGGGCCCAAATCTAGGTGGATGGATCAAGAACTGAAATAAGGGCACATAAACTAAAGCCTTTGTGCCGTGAATCTAAAAGCACCAGTGTAAATGGCCTAAAGAGACACATGCCAATCGTGTTGCCACGTAAAATCTGAAAGGAACTGCTGCTGGTTCTTGCCTACCTGCCAGACCCTCCATGGAATGTCTCCCCTCCCTCCCCCC